CGCCATTGGAATTCTTTTCATGGTTCCGGCCCCTACGAGCCATCCCCGCGGGCCGTGGTCCCGTGTTCGATTCCGCACGGGTGCCCGAATTATCGTTTGTAATTCGCGAACTAAGGTTGGCATCATTTTTGCTCTCAAACCTAGTCGCTTCATTTTTTGTTGCTCGCTTCCTTTCCGGAATCTGCGACTCAACTGTGCAAAGGTGCGCGATATAGCCGTCGTATGTTTCTGGCTGTTCCGGGTATTTCATGGCCTCGGATCGCACCTGTTCTTGCACCTTCGCCCATAGGTGTTCCTTGCGATGTACGTCTCCGTACGGGTGTCGCAGGCGTCGATGAATCCCATCTAGCTGCGTTGCAAATTCGCGAACACTCTGGGTTGGTTTCTGATACGCTCGGTGATAATCTCGCACAGCATCGCGATAGATGCTTTCGGGATCGTTAACGAAGCGTAGGCAGAAGTCCTAGAATTCTTCCCAGGTCGGCTGTCGGGTGAGCTTCTCAACGTGAGATTGCCACTCGTTATGTCTGTCGTCCGCGAGATACTGCGAAGCTGCGAGCACCTTATGCGGCGAATATGCGAACCAGACAGGGTGCGTATCGAAGTAGTTACGCAGCCTATTCTGGAACGTGTCGTATTCTTGGGTCGAGCGACCGTGGAACGTTTTGATGCGAGTATCCTCACGAGGCGCGTGAAGTCTGGTAGCCTCAATACGTCGCAGTGCGAGGGTCTCCGGGTCGAGATCCTCGCTACGAGTCTCATCCTGCGAGGGGTTGTTTAACCCTTTGAGTTTCTGGATGATTTCTCGTTTCTTTTTCTCTGCTTCCTTCGTAGCGAGCTCCTTCTCGAGCTCTTCCAGGGTCAGATTTTCGTAATCAACCTCCATGTCCACCGTACCGTGAGCGGTACCTTCTTCGGAGGAAGTGTCGTGCCGCGCAGGTTCACTCTGCTGAGTCGGCACACCGATATCGATCGGGAAATCATCGTCTCCTTCGATGACTAGGCTCGGGTTCCGGCTTCGCGCCTGGAAACGGGTACGGTGAGGGTGCGACATGGTTGCGAAGGTCCTTCTATCGGGCAAATCCGAAGTGTTTTGAGCGATTAGAACTGTAAGACCCCGTTACGAGGGTCTTGGGACTTAGGTGGATTCGGGCAATAGAATGGAGAAAGCAGTAGACAGGTTCAATGCTGAACTAATCGCTGGAGTCCAAGACTCCAGCCTCTGAACTGTTTATATACAAATGTGGGGTCATGTGAGGTCATGAGCCCTCGCATTGCGGGTCTCAGCCCTGGGTCCAGTTCGCAGGTGCGAACTGGCCATCTCGCAGTCTCACATAGACTGCGAGATATATATCGTCAGACCTGCTTAGTACTTGGGTCCTGACATCGACACCTTGGCCTATCAAGATACTTCTATATCGATGAGTTTCTAGTATGATTTGTAGCTAGATACGTAAGAACTATACGGCACCGATTACACATAACGCCAGGCTTTCTATCTTTAGTATGTGCAACTTATTAAAACCCAGTCTAGCAGTCTGCGCGACGGCTAACCTCCTAGTTTAGCCGCTTTTTCTTACTAAAATCGGTTTAAAGCCACTAGTTAACGAATTCCGCGGACATATCGGTAGTAAAGACGATATACTCGTTAATACTATCTAGCTTGATTCGCGTAAGGGTGTCTAGGGCCCGAGGTCCTACGCGAGATCGGACTTAGTTATCTAGAAGGTCTAGAAGGTCTAGAACTGAATCAAACTAGCTTTCGCGTTAGGATAGCGTATCGTTAGGGGTAAGGTATTATAGCGCGTCTAGAGGTAACCCTTCGAAGCTAGATAATACGTAGCCGTAGCCGTCGGTAATCTAAGACATGATAACTTTAGTAAACCAGTGTAACTTAGCGAAGATAATAAGGAACTTACTAGTTATTCTATAGAAGTTACGGGGTCTTCTTAGGGCATCTGTTTATCCCTATTCCATAATGCTCAAATTGATATATCAACTTTTATAAGCCCTATCTATATCTGATTCGCTAGTATAGTGGATCACTATAGAAACGAACCTTAATAAACCTCAACTAACCTTAACGAACCTTAATAGACCTCATCGAACCTTAACGAATCTTAACGAACCTTAACGAGAACCTTAATATAGGAAAAATAGAATATCTAAGTCTAACAATTAGGACATTTGAACCGGATTCACGGTATATCTAGATCAATTAATCTGAATTCTAAAAGACAAAGTGATAGAAGAGGATATAACGGTTTGAATGATATTAAAATAAGGGGAATTGAACTGCATCTTTATAGTTTTCTTAAAGAACAGTAGTTCTACTAATAAAGATACATATACTTTACAATGTCTGCGATATATATATCCACAACTTTACATGCCATTTTATCGATGACCTCTATTAACAACCCACCACGTCGATATCATCGAATATTACCTATAATTTATAGGTGACCACGCCTCCTATTTACTTTTCAATGAATATATCTTTATAATTCATTATATTGATAAAGTATTCAGTGGAAAGTCTATTAGTTAACGAAACAGCTATAAAAAACAGAGATGAATCATCAATTTTATCCAGCCAAAAGAGGAAAGGCGTCAAGAAATTATGTATATGCAGGTTCATACGGGTCGATAGAGGTTGAACCTCAAAGAACCTCTGGAGGTTAATAGGCGGTTGGAGGTTAGTAAGGTTGGAACCTCACCTCAAGAGGTGAGGTTCGAGGTTCCGGGGTAGGGACCCATGCGGAGGTTCAAAGCCAGGTCTACCTAAAATACGGTTTAATCTTCATTATTCTCGAGAAGATTATCTAGGCTTAGCTCGTGGTCCACGAGTTACGCCTTAAGACTTAAAACGTAAGGGAAAGCTTTACTAGTAGTAAGTCTATGATACTAGTGTAAACGAGATTATGGTTATAGGAAACTATAAAAACGGTAGGAGCTGGATAATTTATATAAATTCATCCGCGCATTAGAGAGGATCTAGGTAGTTGATGTATAAATTATAACCGTTCGCTATATATATAATATTACCTTCTACTAAGCGAGAGGGGTAATAAACGCTATCGCGTAGCTATGTGCGTAAACCTAGGACCCGGAGTATAGCGTTAACTGTAGCCGGGCTTAGCGCCTAGAAACCCGGCTCTATAACGGTAACCCTATCTAGAGGCTAGGAAATTGCCTTTTCGTGAGAGCGTGCACCCAGGTCAACACACGCTACCAACTATGCCAAAAAGACCACTATGTCAGCCGTCAGGCTAACATGCCTGGGACCGATACATTTACTCCTCAGTACGCACATTGCTAACAACACCATGCCGTTACACTTTTTGGTAGCGATTTTTAGTTTTTACAGTAAATCACTACTAATTTCGACACTATTTGCTTTTATCGGTCGGCCTAGTTTCATGTTTAGCTAACGTTACTAGTCTCTCTAAGGTGACCCAGTCTCTCTAAGGTGACCCAGTCTCTCTAAGGTGACGAGACGCTTAGGAAGAGATATCTTACTAAGTAGGATAGAATGTTATATATAAAATTTCGAGTTAATTACGGTAATGGCTTAGATATAGCGAGGCGTACTATAAGCTACGTATTCCGGGTTCGCCCGAATCTTAGCAACCTTGATAAGAGTTTTATTATAATAATTCACTACGGCCGCCCTAGATACCATTAGATATTTTCCTTTATAACAAATCAAGGAGCGATATACTTACCTGTATAGAGGTGTTAGATCGAAGCTAACCCTGGGTGCATCGTAAATGGTCACGGGTAGGTACATATCACACATCCACCACAGAAGTCTATAGTCATGTGATTAATACAGAATCTCTTATGAGAGGGAGGTTAGAGATTAGTACGTCTTAAACGTCGAATAGCGTTAGATCGTTCTCTGCTGTTACATAAATACCACTTTTCATCGACCAATAAAGATACCGAAAACTGTCTTTCGTTATCTTTTTTTTTCGCTATGTATGTATCTGATTATAGATATCGGGTCGGATTAAGATAGACCCGGTCTCATGTAGTATTCGTAAGGTAATGCCGACACCTTGTTACCTCGAGTCGCAAGTCATGCAAAGCTCAGTCCTTCCAGATTACATTTCCAATCTTCTAACCTCAAGAATATCAAATTAAGAACTCATGAAATTGTACTATATCTAACCTGAAAACACACGATGCTGAATATATCTTGCCGTAGATATACAGTGAATATTGCAGATGTCGTGCTTCGAGGCAAAATTGTTTCGTTTGTTTAGAGGGGAGTATATATTCGAACGAGAGATCGGGAGAGAGAAGGAGAACAAGTCAAAATCGATGGTTATACTCACCCTAATCACATCGTATTTTGATGAATTGGTATTTCGTCGGTTTCTCCTCTTGGCGCACGCCCCAAGACCTCCCATTGACGAGTCCAATTCTCTGCTATCTCTTCCAACCTTAATTGTGACTTAAGCAAGTGGGATAGATATAGATGCACAGGAATGTCTTACTCCAGCGTGGAACATACCCGTGGACCAGATCTATATGGGACCCGATAGCAGGGACTTAACACTTACGGTAACCTTGACGAAAAATTAATTGGGAACCATTAAAATGCAGGATGCAAGGCATTTCTTTTAATAATAATACAAGAAAAGAGAGAATAACATCGTCGCAGTTTGGCCCTCAGGGTGACGTTAGTTCCCGCAGAATGTCGACATTCAGGCTGTGGAAACAGAGGTGAAGACCCCCTACTTCAAGCCACTTCTCCTCTTAGCCTTTTTGATAGTCATCGATACGACTCTATTGAAGAAAACTTACAATAAATAAAAAGGACAAATACGCAACCTCAATCCCTGCAAGTCTTGGGGGGCCAAATGGATTGGTCTATCACGCAATTTGCAAAGAATTTGCCAAATCACCTGGATGCCTTTAAATTCCAAAACAGAACATCGCTGTACAGCGAGGGAAGAGGTATATCGAGCTTAACCAAACCATGCTATACAATGTCGCAATATAATCGCCGCAAGGGTCGCATTCCAGGGACCCTAGTCTTAAACTGGCAGTCCGGAGAGGCGCCTAATGGGAAATCATCGACCAGAAGACCCATGACTGCCTGCGAGGCATGTCGCACAGCCAAAGTCAAATGCGATGCACAGGGAGATTGCAGTCGCTGCAAAATGCGCGGCTTGGAGTGTCGCTATGCCACTCGCGGCTCGCTGGCGAACAGTGAGCCCAGGCTGGATTTTGTGGGGCGTAGCCAAGCAAACCCCGGCCAAGAAGCAATTCACGGACTTACTGATCTCCCCAGCGATATTGACTCTGGGTTTCTGGATGACTTATCTCTACACAATGCGTCGGACGCAATGGAATGGGGGGAGGACGCGTTCAACAAAGCCCTCGAGCATTTCGACAGGGTATTTCCTGATGCCAACATAAATGTAAGATCTCCAGGTGGCCTTCGCAACTAAACCTTTTGGCAATTTCGCACTAACCAATTTTAAGACATCTGATCTAAACAGGCAGATTCTTCCGGAAGACCCCATTTGTATCCCCGAAAACTACAATCTCAGTCCGTGTACTTTAACACTCCCCGACTCGATATCGCTGCCTTCAGTATCGAGTCACGGAGACACCTCGGCGTGCTAATGTAGGACGAATCTTATCGTGCATGTTCCCCGTTTAGAAGACACCATGCAAGAAAAGCCCAAGCCACGCTTAGATGCAATATTCAAGGTCACAGAAGATGTCATTGTGAGCTGCCAGGCTGCCATAAACTGCAGACGCTGCAAGATCGGACCCGTGGATCTGGTTTGCATTGTGGCAGTGTTCCAACAAACTGCTGCGTGCTTCGATCATATTGCGAAGTCAAGCCTGGATGGCAGCATGAAAGTCGGCGTCGGCAGCTATGAGGTTTCTGTGACGGACGATATCATGTTCAAGCGCATGCTGGTCATGAACCATATCAAGCAAGCCAATAAATTGTTGGATTCAATGAACACCCTCGGCCAAAGTCTGTTCTTGTCGCAACATGGTCTGCCACGCAACACGATGAATCGCTCTCCAGCCTGTCTCAACCAACTAAATTGAATTATGTCAGAGAGGTCGCTACGAATTTCAGGACTCTCTTTCGGTTGATTACAGACGTTTTCGATGAGTGTTATAAGGACGCTGGGGGCGAGGGTATTCGATGATTGGAATGTTCAATATTTTTGCATCTCGGGAAATCGACATCTAGAATCGTTGATCCGGCTTCCTTGGATGTGAATGCTAATGTTCATAAATTCAAAGTTTGACTTCTTGATTCGGGTGGTGGTGGGCCATGAGGATTGGATCCAGCCACAGCTGGAGTACGATGCTTCTTTGGTTGAGGGTACGCTCCTCCAAGAGGTAGCGATGAACTTCTGGCAGAGGATTCACAATATATTCTTAGGAAGAGAATGATTCATAGTCATAAAGCAGCCTTTCGAATATAGCTAGCAGCCTATCCCACGGGGGCAGCTGCAGTCGAGCAGACTGCAAGTGAAACTCTATTTTTTACTATGGGGGAAAATGATTGGAAATATCCCTTTCGGAATCCGCGGATCCCGTGGGATGACCAACCGTTCCCCACTTTCTTAAACTATTCCTAAGAAATGGAAACTTTGCTTCACAATACCAGCGTAGAAGGATTAATAATTGTATATGAAGTTTGGTAATCGTCCTTGAGAGTAGAGTCCGCAGTAAAGTCAATTTCATGCATTTCCACGCTGCATTGCCTATTTCGGCTAAGGCTGACCATTTTTCTCGATCGCAGTATGTTTCCATCCATTACTATAAAAACTGCTGAACCCTCTTCCAGTTCTATGCTTTTTTCTGCAAGCACCTACTTATTCAGTCACCCTGCTAAAGTCACTCAAACTTCCATCTGTCCTCTTTGCTCATCTTCACCTTTTGTTTACTTTCACCAAGTATCGGCCTGTGAGTACTGGCGTTGTCCGCCTATATTGATTTAATACTGATTGTGCTACCGGAAACCAGTTTGCCAACATGCGTTTAGCAATTGCAGGTTCAGGTGACCTGGCCTGTTATCTTGTCGAGGAGTTCACCGCAAAAGGCCATGATGTGGTGGTGTTATCCCGCAGCCTGAAACCTCGATTCAACGGCTTTCCAAAGGTGACACAGGCGGTGATTGACTACTCAGTGGAGTCAATTCTTAATGCGATTTCGGATTGCGAAGCCATGATCTCAGCGATCCTCGACTATTCAGAGGGGTTTGTAGATGTACACCTTGCCCTGATGGAGGCGTGCAAGCAGAGCCGCATCTGCAAGCGCTTCATTCCCTCTGAGTTTGGGGGCAACCTTGAAACACACCCCCATCAGCCCGAGTTCTACTTCCGCACGCGCGAGCCTGTACGGAAAATGCTTCGTGAGCAAGCCGAGCTAGAGTGGACATTAGTTTCTGTGGGCTGGTTGATTGACTACGTCGTCCCAAGCAATAATCGATATCTCAAGGATATTGGGCCTGCGTTTCCAATTGACGTTGCCAATCAAAAAATGGTCATCCCAGGCACTGGACTCGAGCCGTTCAATGTCACATGTGCCCGGGATGTAGCGAAGAGTCTTGTCGCTTTGTTGGAAAGTGCCAAGTGGGACAAATACACCTACATCACCGGGGAGAAGACATGCTGGGCCGAAATTAGTCGCATCGTTACCGAGAAGTATCCTGCGCTTTCTGTATCTCATAAAGATGTGGCGAAAATAGAGCAGGAGGCGATGAGTGGAGGTGATGACGCTATTTTCGCTGAATATCAACTTTTCTCTGTCACGGGAGCAGCTTGTTTCGATGATGCCACGGTCCAGGATCAGAGGGAGAGATATTTCCAAGGGGTTCACTTTCGGAAAGTCCAGGATCTCCTTGAAGCTGTTGATAAGGACGATCAGATCATAGTTTGATTGTGTTCGAGAAGCTTCGTGGTTACAATGCAATACATAGCCTTCTTTAAATCTATCATCAAAACTAGATATGTACATGTTGTCATCACGGTCTTTGCAGGCATAGAACAATGAGAAAAGCCTCACTCTTTATCACTTCAGCGTGGTCCGGCACTTTCTGTCATTATGTTAGGCCTTGTTACTGAACACCTAGTTACAAGCTGGAGCATGCAGAGATCAGGCTGGCCAATCCGGAGTTCGTCACAAACTATGTACATGTATTTGCACTTCCGTATACTTGGCTGACTCGCGTATATCTTACTATTTGAAGTAACGCACGTACAAATTGATGTACAATATCGGCGTGCAGATACTAAGGCTATTACACGCGGTCAACAAAATGCCAAGATCGAGTCTCGGCCAGCCTTGGGAATTCTGGTACCTGGGTCCAGATATGATGAACCGTAGCTCAGCTGCCCCGAGGCGATCAGGTGCAATGCCTACTATTTTCAAAAAATTTTAACCTCAGAACTGGCCAGATTTATCAGACTCAGCTTCGCACCTAAAAATCCCTTATTTCATGGGCTGATAGATTTGAAGCTTAGCAAGTCCTCAAATACTGATTTATGTTGCATAACACTTTATTAGCTCGTTCACTCTCGCGGGCCATTTATGCTACAAGTTTATAAGAACGGGAAGAGTTTCAGTTATACAGCCGCTGCTCGGCCGCAGCAGCACACTTCCAGCACTTCTCTCCTGGCTGTGTCAGCGCGGGATCAAATTCAAATACAGCGTCTATTTCCATCTCTTTCCTCGCGATGATCTCTTTGTACCTGCTCTGTAGTAATTGTGTGGCAAGATGTAGAGTAGCCCACTCCCTGGAGGAAATGGTGTCACAAATCAAGATGCGGTCGGAAAGCGTTTGTAGGTATTGAATTGTATCGTTGATCAGTTTCATACTGATGGTTGCCAGGCTTGGAACTCTCCTTCGATGCATCTTTTGTGTTGCCAGATGTGGATGGCCTATAGCGTGAGATGCAGAGTAGCGTCGATATCGCTTTTGTAAGAGAGTTAGGGATTCGGCAGTCCCTCTTTTCGGGTTTAGTGGCGACAGGTCTTGGCTTTTATCTTTTGTGACGTTTTCAGGCGACGTAGAGTCCCTTGAGCTAGTAACGGAGGTAGCCACAGAGGCAGGTACGGACCGCTCAACAAATGGCTGTGAAATCCGGTTTGTGCAGACCCAATTCCCGTGAATGAATAGGCGAACGACCGGGCGGAATTTCCAGCCGATTTATTGTCTCAATGAAGAATTTCGCTAGCCAATGATTCCTCAACAGGGTGTATTAAAGAATAATACTAGCTTGCTATGAACCACCTTTTAATGATAGTCCTTGTTTTTCATATTGATTGAAGAAGGAAGTGACTCTGTTGATTTCCCTGTGATTGTTATTCTTAGATTCCTGTTATGCTGACTTCTGATCGATAACCGCTTGGTTCATTTGCACTGATAAGACTGTAGTAATGATGGGTTCTCAGGGTACAGCAATGTGAGATTAAATAGACTATAAGGGCAACCCGTGAAGTTTAGATATTTTGGAATAAAACGGCAGCCTTCACTTGTATAGAATAACTCGTTGACAAGTTTATTGTGAATTAGGCTTACTAACGCGGGGTTCTATGAGCACTGTGAATGTAAATATGTTGCCTCCAGCTGCGGGGCATACGTGGAGCTCGGATCAGGGATACCTTAAGCCAGCCGCCGCATGTACCCACATGGCGCCTGAGTAACCAATTGAGAACCCAAAAGGATATTCCCAGGAGCAGCATGAGTGCTAGATCGAAATTGGTCATGTATAGGAACGTGCAGACGGTAGTTACATTTCCGACGCATGGGGGTTTTACTGCTTCCTAGATTTAGCCTCACCGATATTTACAATGAGAATAATGACTGGCCGATATTCTGCTTCGTGATTTCCAGGAGCTCTGGGGCTCTGAGGGCTGTTGGTGGTAATCCACTATTGTCGTGGTGATATGGAGTAGTGGGATCATTACTCAGTGGGTAGGCTCACCCCTCCAGTATGTTTAACGAACTACTTTATGTTGGTAAACGGTGTGTGAAAGTTGATACTGAAGATGAACAGGGAACGGAAACAGCATGTGAATTCCCATAGAAGAACTATATCTAAACACTGTTGCTTATATCACTTCAACAGTGGAATTCTGTCAGAGTTAGTCAACCCTATTCCAAGGGCTATTGATTGATTATCCGCGTTGACACAAGCGGTTGCAGTTGTTTGTAAGCTAAAGTAGAGGATGTTTACTCGAGGGAAAGCAGCTTTTTCTCCAAGAGATCAGACATATTTTCCGAGACACATTTTCCGAGACCCCCAGACCATGGAAGAGGAATGTTGCTTCAACCTGAAGCATTCTGATCGAGGAAATGCCAATATGAATTGCCACTAAGGTAATGTGCAATGAGAAAGGCGTTGGGCGCGGTTCAATATCAGCCGAATCGTTTATTGAAAAGAGGGCCTCTGTGTGAAGCGCACACAGCACATATCAAGTTCACAGTATTTTGATCTGATTCAACTTTCTGCCTCTCACTTTTACTTTGTATAACTGATCCCCTGAGCAATACCCGCCTCACCTTCTTGCAATCAACAAATCTGTTCTTGCGGACACAAAATACCTCTAAGTACTACTTGGGCCATCATCTGAATGCATATAGTCATTATTTTCCTTACCATCATCTGGCTAGCTCTTGCCAGTCTCATTTCGGCCACTGCGCACTTCGCGATTTTTCTATAAGACCGCGCAATATCCGACCTCGTCAGGCCTAGCGACACCACTCTAGGCATCATATTTCAAAATCTTATGGACGACGTGCTCGGAGACACGGTAATTGTGGCCCTCATCTCAAGCCAGTTCGCTGTTTTTGGGGTTATCCTTATGATCCACCACCCGAAGACTACAAATATCGAGATTATGATGAAAATTTTCCAGGAATCAGCCTAATCAGGAGCATTGACTTATACAAACAAGAAGTATGAGGAGGGTTGCCAAGGGTTGATTTTTCAAAACACTTACCCCGATACTTGGTCGGGTCTGCTCCAATTAGATATGCCCACACATCAAGCGGGTTCAGTGGCCTCGGAATTTGGACCCTTAATACTACCTACATCCCCTTTTGGCAATTCTCCATTGAAGGAACAGGATGAAAAGACCGTGCGGCTCGGCATCCCGGCATCCCCTTCACTCCATAGATTTTCAATCTGTGACAATAATTCCCGGTTGCCACGCAGTAATCACCCGGATGGGATCGAACAGTGCTGTCGCCGTGTCAAACTAGATGCAGGTAGTGAAAGTTCGAAAGGACGAACCTGAAGTCGTGTTAGCAGTCTAATTATTCAACTCCAGAATCATAAATATAAAGCCCTGGCGATAGCCATGAATTTCACTATCACATGTCTCCGATAAGTCCGGACTGTTGAGGTACACTTCCCAACTTGCACTTAATCAAAAGATTTCCTTGTCTCTGATGTATCCTTCTTTCGATACGTGACAACAAAGATCCTCCCTGCCATTCTAGCCCTTCAGCTCCTATCTTCAGCCAATGTCGCCGCATCCTCGGGCTGCGGCAAGCAATCTACTCTCACCAACGGAGTTCACAAGATCAATGGACGCGAGTGGATCCCGAAACTCCCCAAAAACTACGACCCAAACAAGCCACATCACCTCGTCTTCGACCTCCATTGGCGAGGCGGAAATATGAACTCTGTTGCCAACGGTGACAGCATTCAACCCTGGTACGGTCTCAAAAGCCGAGAAAAGGGTAGTGCCATCCTGGTGGCTCCCAATGACGAGAATGCTGGCTGGGTCAATACCAGCGGCGAAGATGTGGCACTTATCGACGCCATCATGAAGCAGATCGAGGGTGACCTCTGTGTTGATCCGACCTCTCGCTTTGTGACAGGCTTCAGTTGGGGCGGTGGGATGATTTTTGCGCTTGCTTGTTCGCGGGCAAAGGATTTCGGGCCGTGAGTGTGTTGAGTGGTGGGTTGATTGGTGGGTGTGAGGGCAGCCCTCTATCGCTTACTTGGGTATTCATGGCATCAATGATGAAGTTCTGCCATTTTATGGGGGTGTGGCTCTGGCGAATAAGTTCGTTGGGGTTAAGATGTGCCAGCTAACAAACATCGGCAAGTCTTCATCTGGCAGTGGCGGTTTGAAATTGGGGCTAGCGCTTGATCGTGCATGGGTTTTTACTGTGTATTTTCTAGTGATCAAGCCACCGAAGCCACCGCCCTTCGGCATTCAGTAAATAGGCAGCATATCAGATTCATAGAATTACAGGCACTAGGAGTTCTTTTAGCCGGCACTCACTCTCGAAACTTTTAAGTGCAGCGTAGCGTTAAGATTCGGGATTTTTCGGATTTCGATGCATAGTAGCCCCGATTACCATTTTATAAGGCTGTTTAGATTAGCAAAAAGGTGCGATGATACACGAAAGCCCGGAGAGTCTTGGCGCAATATTTAAAGGAGCGGGAGCTAAGAGCCCAGTAGAGCATTGAGAAGGATGTGACCTCAGTTCTGTCTTCCATCTGCGTGACCACTTCTTTGAAATCACGCTACCCAAGTAAAGTAATAAAGATGTCCAGTAAGAGGTAGCCACACCCTACTGTGCTAGGTTCTTTCCGATTGAACTGGCAGCTATTAGACCAGTGGTTCCATCGCTATGGGCCATTGCTTGAGATTGTCATTCATTTAGTGCCAGTTCTTTTTGATAGCCAAAATGACTTGCTTTGTGACCGAAAACCCCTTTTTTTCAATATGGCTAATAAACCTCAGGATCCGATATCTGTCCGACTTGCGTGCCATCTCCATTCCAATGGCGTACAGAACAGGTGCATAGATTATAGCTTCGAGATGGAGATGTTGGAGAGAACTCTCAGCATGACTCAATGCAGAGATTGCTTGCTCGTAGCTCAGCTGAAGTGGCATGACAGGCAGTTCACATTCTAAAGACAGCCAGCATGGATCTGAGAAAATATGTGAGATTTCGATTGTCGCAGATTGGTAGAGAGTGAGCATGACATTCCCAAATGTCCCGAATTCCTGGTGTGAATACCAAAGGACGCAGGCAATCATATCACGTTGAAACTGGGAGGCGATGCAAATTATATTGATTCCACCAACATTGCTTTCAATCCTGTATTTTTCATCCACACTTTGTTGTAGCCCGGTAGGGCTAGTCAGTGTTTTCCATTCTATAGCCCACCATTGTAATTGAGCCCACATCTCGAGGTCTTGAGCCAAGCGGTCAAGAAGCTTGTCCTGACATTGTGCTAACGTAGTACCTTCCTTGGTAAGCAAAAGCTTCCTGGACCCAAGGAGAGGTAATTGACTAGACACGTCGGCGTTTGGGTCTTGTGGGAGACAGATGGCTCTCAAGGCATTCATAACTCGAGCAAGTGTGCTCATTGACCTCCCAAGCGGGCTATATGAGAGACTTAATCCTTGGTGCCATCTATCAAAAGCGGAAAGCCGACGAACACAGGAATCCCATAGCTGTCCAGAAGGGTCCACCAGTAGCTATTCGGTTCATCAGTTTTAAGCCAGACGTACAATTGAGTATTGGGGTTAAGTTACCTCAACAAAGCTCAGTAGCAAAGCGCAGATCAAAATCACCGGAGGGTAACTGTTATTTTCCATTGGTTGAACTTCGGCTGCAACAAAGTTTCGCAATCTTTGTAGCGAGCGAAACAAGCTTCTCTTGTCTGTTTGTGAGACCGATAGTAAATTTGGGTTCTTCAATGCATAATATCCGCCAAGTAAAGACACAGTGTCTTGCACGAGCACGTTATCATACAAAAGAGGTGCCAAACAATCCGCCGCGAATACCGTGGTTAAAACTGGAGATGAGCCCACGGCAAAGAAGAAGGCACGCTTGTAATGCTCCGATGTTGGGACAATGGGGCTCCTGCATATAGCCCAACCAGCTGTTTGGTGGCTTTGGATCGTCTGAAATTCTTCCTTTGGCACGCATATCGAGTTGCAAGGGATTTCCTTTTGTTTGCAGGCAGTACATGGCCTTGAGCGATCACACTAGATGACACAATCAGTATAATGTAGGCAAATATAAAAAGGAGGTTCACACCTTGATGTGATCTCTTCGACAGGGTTGGCATCGGTAACCGAGGCGGCGCCTGTCCCTGGGCCCACACGTCATCTTGCCACAGTCTTTATATCATGCGTAGGGGAAGGTCTTTAGCCAGGGATATTTCACCTAGTCATCAATACCTAGTTGCCTACTCACAAATTTTTGATTTCCACATGGGGCGGGTTCTTGTCGAACGAAGCACGAAAGATTGTGTTCTGCGGAGAAAATCATAGATGAGAAGATCAGCATCTGGGCATCAGCACTTGGATCCACTTTCGCAAGACTATGTCCTAAGACCGCCTAGCGCGAAATAACGATCAAAAGTGAAACATCTCTTTTGTGAGCCATGGAACAATACCACTAGTGGAATCCACTTTCGCAGCATTCATTCCGAATATCACCCCGAGACATAATCTTCCACTCGCAAATATTACCATAACGATGTTTTTATTATGGCCGAGCAGTTAGGATATAGGAGAAATTATAAAATGATTTGCAAAGCTGATAGCCTCTCCCATTGTGTCTTACTATCATAGTTAAGTACCCTCTCGGGCCTCTATAAAGGAGCCCTCAGGCCTTGCATTTGTTTTCTTTCAAGAAGCTCACAACTTCCTTGAACAAAGGTCTCAGCCTTTCTCCACGCCATGGCTTTCAAATTCTATGCTCTGACATTGGCTTTGATGCCCTCCATCCAAGCCATACAAGTCGCAAACTTCAATGTTTCTGAATATATTGCTAGCAAATACGGTTGTGACTCAACTTGCTACGAAACTTTTCGAGAAGGTATAGCTGTTGATCGCGCTTCCTACGGCGCAATCTATGACGCAGGTTTCTATGAGACCGCCCATAACTTTTCCAACTCGATGCCCGGCGATGCTCTGAAGTTAGAGTCAGTCAATGCCACTCTCCTCCATGATATCCCGAAGGGAGTCACTGCCTACAGGTTCCAATATGTGTCACAAGATCTCGATGGCAGAAAGGTCCCAGTCACCGGTTTCATTGCTTTTCCTTATGCCAGCAGGTCGAATGGCCTTGTGTACCCTACAATCGCCTATGGTCACGGAACATCCGGTGTGTTTCGAGGCTGTGCACCTTCGGCTATGCCAAGCTTCTATGAGTATGGCAGCTGGGCCTTCTTAGTCTCACGTGGATATGCAATTATCGCCACAGACTATGCCGGGCTCGGGAACAACTATACCGCCCATCAATACCAAGCTTCACCAGCACAGGCTCATGACTTGTACTACTCAGTTGCTGCAGCTCAAAAGCTATTTGGCCACGCGCTCACGGCCGAGTGGATGAGTGTCGGCCACTCGGAAGGAGGTGGTGCAGCTTGGGCTCTTGCTGAGAGCTCTCTGCTGCAGAAAAACCCCCTTTCGCTCGGAAAGTACCTTGGTACGGTTGCTCAGGCACCCGGAGTTCGAATGCAAGACATGGCACTTGCTGCTATTCAGGGCTCATCTTCATCCGGTGTTGTTTCGACTCGTGGTGTTCTTGCGGAAGCTGGATGGCTCGCTCTCGGCTTGCGAAGCACTCTTCCCAAAGACCCTCAGACTTGGCTACAGCCTAAATTTCGGAAGCGTCTTGAGCTTGCGACACTCGCTCAGGCATGCTACGCGTCAATGAGATCGTTAGTTACGGACCTTGATATTACTGATGTGATCAACATCTCAGACCCAAGCCTTCACTTTGCCCTGGAGAAAATGCAAAACATCACCGCCAGGGGCGAAGGCAAAAGTGCCCAACCTGTCTTTATTGTACAGGGACTTTCCGACGTTTCGGTGCTTCCGCAAGTGGTCGAGACCGCATACAATGCTAGCTGTCAATCCGGAAATGAGGTTCACCTACAAACATATCCTGGCATCGACCATGATCCGGTGATTCCTGCTTCGGCACCAAGTTTCCTTCAGTGGATTGACGATCGTTTCGATGGCTTCAAGACAACAGGCAAATGCAGTAACACGACGGTCAAACCATTTGACTATATCAATATGTACGCTCCGAGCGACGCCTCTAACTAGAGTACCGCCTGTGCGCCTGCTGTTTGTTGCCAATTTTGAGATTTAAGCTGTGTTGGGATGGGTGCATGTTTAGGCAGTGAGGTTGATATTGCTTCCTGATTATTCGAGTCAATATCTCAAGATGTTATTTGCTAGCTAGTTAGCTAATTAGTTGTGAAAGCTTTTTTCTTCCTTCAAATCAAGAACTCTCTTGCTATCGGCCTTTCGCCTACTAAGTTTCAACTAAGAGTAAAAGTGCCACAATTTACAGGAAACTCGAGTCAATAAATTCCGGGGATTGAATAGTGCGATAAGAATTGGGCCTGAGTCATATACGGTATTGAGACGAAAGGCGGAGGAGAAAGTTAGCGAATGGTAGAAGGAGGAGTGACTGAGACAACGAGTAAAGTGAGATAGAGAGCGGGCCAAAAAACCATGCCTAAATCTTCGATCCCGCCTTCTTAATCAAAATTCTGTCCTAATTCTTTACATAAAGTACATAAACCTGTTGAACAAAAATAGGGGCGCCCCGTGTCAAAGAGACGGTCAAACAGCAGTATGAGGTGCAGGACTATTCAGTTGCTCTAACAAAGCCCAATCCTTTCAAGGACGTGTTGTCACGGACATGTGTGATGGCAGATCCATTCCCATAGCACACTAAGTATATCTCGGATACCGGCTTATGTGTGACCCTGGGTAGTATACAGTGGAAACTCTGGTATGACAATCTGATTGATTGTCATAAGTGGTCTTTTTGGTAAATGCGCCATTGAGAGTATTCCTTGTTTGATAATTAAGTCCAGAGCCTTAGTTACCCTTACAACATGCCAGTCACCAATCACATGTGGAGACTGCGACCTACAGATGGGCCACCGATGGCCAACCGATCAATCTGTTATGCAGATCACGTGTAACATCCTATACTGGGGCATCCCTTGTACGAGTCAGGGGAAACCACTAGGACTTAGGAGCCGTTTCTGGCCCCCTATACGCAATTATAAGTTTTACTTAACTGTTTCTTTCTAATATTATATTTAAATCTATTTTATATATGTTACGAGCCAAGTCTTGATGAAAAAAAGTGCATTCAACTAGAATACTAAACATGGGGAAAGAAAGAAAGAAAGAAAGAAGAAGAAAGAAACAACACCCTGAAACAATTAAGGTAGTGATGCCTGAGGCCTCCAATCAAACAATGTAAAACACGAACTACGAAAGGCGGTGGAACACGACAGAATCGGTTCAGGATCATTGATACTGAATTCTTCGTGACATTTTATACTTATAAGCTATTATAATTTAATATATAAAGGTTTTACTAAAGATTCATACTCTACAATATAGACTTAAGTTATTTATCAAATCTACTATAGACTATTGTTACGCACAGCTAACTGGTCACAGTTATATTAGATAGAATCAGGAGATACTTCTCTGATTTCCTATAGACTTCTAACCTCAACGATCTATCTCTCAACCTTACCGTTGCTGAGCAGGCCTTACTACGGGATAAGTCCTGTCGAGGGTATCAAGGAACGATACTAGGTAGTGTGTAATGGTCTTTGGGGCCATACAATGGGAGACAGATCACTAAGACTGCCAAGCACTCTTTCCAACCTTTGGCCTTTTCCCATCGGGGTTTTGCCTGGTTGGTTTTAATGAGGCTATGCAGGACGAGGAGTAATGGATCCGACCATGTAACGGGAATGTTCCGTCTACGAAAAGAATTCGGACGTAGTGTCACCAACGAAGATGGAATCGCAATAAGTTATACCGAGAGAGATAATATGCCCCTGGGAGCTTCGTCCAAACGGGGCATAAAAGGGGGATAACTCCCTGGCCCCTATCTGGGGGACAAGAATTAGTCTCTGTACAAGAATACTATATCGTTGACGCTCCTCCACTTATTCATCACCGATCCATCATTGTATCTTACCGGATTGACAGGCTGATCGCCCCTGACCTGGTAATCTTCTTACACTTTTCCTAGTATCCTAGGGATACTTAGGTACTGGGTATCGCACGTGACTTAGATAATAGATAGATCAATTAGCTCTTAGTGGCCCATCAGTAGTTGCGGTCTCCGCATGTGATTAGTGACTAGTATGTCCATAACACGTACGTGACTTAGATGATAGATAGATTAGTTATGTGAAGGCATGCGCCCAGGCAACACACGTCTACCAACTAGGCCAAAAAGACCACTATGTCAGCCGTCGGCTGACATGCCTGGGACCGATACATATACTACTCAGTACGCACATTGAACCCGTGGATCAGCCACGCCGTTACAAGTTAGCTCTTGGTGGCCTATTAGTGGTTGCGGTCTCCGCATGTGATTGGTGACTAGCATGTCCGTAAAACTAAGGAGACATTATTACGGAAGTCTTCACTAATTATAATAACTTCAAGAAACGACTCTTACAGACGTTTGGGGATATCGACGCTAAGCGAACCGCAAAAAAAAAGCTTCGGCGATTACGATAAAATACTCCCCGTATAAGCCGCTACGCCGCCGAATTTTAGTAAGTTATCTCGTACCTAGACTAAGACGAAGATACGTATATTACTACCTTTGAGGACGGACTTGAAGTCTACATTTACAAAGTTCTATTTGCTCAGAACCTCATTTCATTCAATTGCCTAACGGTTATTATTCTTCCTTCCCTTTGAATAGTGACCGTGATCACTAACCTTTACTTTTAACTACGGTCAATCTGATAGAGTCTTTTAGATGTTCAATCGACAATATATAACGATATATCGAGCAATGTTCAGGCAATGAATGTCTATAAATAACATGGGAACACATTAAAACAATCTAAGCCCCTACTGGACTAGTCACCTATTCACTATGGATCGAGTTGCTGTCATCACGGAAACACTAATGCGGAGTATTGAATAGAGAGGTCTTGATGAAGGTCTTAGTGACAGTGGTCTATATAAACACCGCATCTCCTTCGCCTAGACAGTTAAATCCTGGCTCCCATCTTTCCTCGGATGGAAAAAGCTCGAAACAAGTGCCGCCGACCCTATCATACACAATCAAAAATGGTATCTACTATAGTTGAGAATCATTCAAATACCATCCTCAATTCCGATGCTAAACCGATGTCCGCCATACTTAACCCAAAATCGCAACCCATGTCGACCAACCTGCCCTCCTTAACTTCTCTGACCTCTCCAACCCACACAGCCCACAACTTCCCTACTAATAATCCACAACTAACCTATGCCTCCGTACTTCAGCACTCGACCATATCTTCACCGCAATCGACATCCAAAAGACACGAACCGGCTAGTCCTACCAAGCTCACATTCACAATTGAGATCTCTATCGTCGTTTTCAGAATAAGACGCCACTATACTAGCTCGAGAATAAGATAAGAAAATACCCGGCTAATCGAACCCGCCATAAACCGGCATTTGCAACAAAGTCGTTGTTCAGATTCTTAAACTCGGTATTAACAGTGTTCTCACGGTTCCTAGCAGAAATGCAGCATAAAGCGATCAGTTGCTGTCCGTCAGATTCGGATATGTGTTACAGCCGCGCTATGAGGGCAGTCTGACAACACAATCGCAAGTTAGGTCACGGGAGGCCTCGGTGAGGCTTAAGTTCGTTCCAGGAAGTGGTGACTTTTACGTGTACGTGCACGGATATATATAGATGTGGTAGCCTATATGTCGCATTGTAAGCCCAAATTCTAATACACGACCTACCAACCTGAGAGCGGATTCGTATTTTGGTCTAGTGGTGAAATCAACTTTGTAGCGAGGGGCCAGGGTAAATGCTATCTATCTATCTATCCACCTACCTACTGTGCTTAAAGCATTTGGCCCGTAAAAAGAACAAATACTAACAATTATTTTCCTCCTATCCCGGTTGAATAACATTCTCGGTACTACTACCACAAGTATCCAAATCCAATATAGATCATTCAATCATCAAGGGAGTGTTGCATAATTTCTTTTTCTCCACCGTATCATCGAAAGCTGCATCAGTTACCCAGCTCCCTGCTAGAGCAGCACGAAATCTATGACAACGAAAATCTTACGATGTTGATCTTCGAGCTTTGGCATTTTGTCGCCGAGATTTTACAATTTTCTATGTTTCTAAAACAGCTTATCGATTATACTTTTGTATTCTTCGGCTTGCGAGGTTTTGCAAATTTCCCTTCCAGTCGATTGATTAGTAAAGCCAGAAATCCAAGGATGGCTGAAGCGTACCTGCCATTTTCGATCGTTGACTCGTTGATCTAATGAAGAACTTTTTCTTGAGATTGTTTTAAGGCATTTTGCTGGTCATGTTCCATGATTACTAATGACAAACCTCATGAGAGAATGTGACCCTAGCGACTTACCAGAAAAAGCTGGGCATTTTCTCAGGCAAGCAGTCAACGAGCTTTTTAAATTGAGAATTTCTCTAGTGGCTGGAATATGACTTTGGGTATTTCAAACAATCGCCTAGTTGTTCCACGGTGGCAAGGTGAGAAACGCGAATTTAAAGGTTTTGGGCGAAAAAAATGATACGTCATAGAGCTCTTTGGTACCAAGGTGTAGAGCGGCCAGGGGTCAGATTGGGTATTTTTGTCATATTGATGCCTGAAGATGCCTGGTTTTTGACCGCTTTTTTGACCGCTCCATACCATGTATTGTAAATGAAGCTATTAACATCTACATATTGTAAACGAAGCTATTCCCATCATCTTCATCATCTTCATCATCATTATACTCATCATACTCATCATCTTCATCATCATCGTCATCACCCTTATCCCCGTGTAGCTATTCCTGTCTCCATTATGCGCCTACGCATTGATCTCGACCCCTATAAAGACGAGATCCTTGATCTTCTCGCTCACGAGACCACACATGAAGTTATTCGCACTCTCCTGCAAGACAAATACCACATTACAATCAGCCGGTCGGGTCTGAAGAATCGCCTCCGAGAATGGCAGTCTACACGTTCTACCCTTACTCAGCGATCCGATATTCAGGACCGAGTTCGAGAACTTTTACCTCGCTACAACACAAAGGAGATTCTCACGATCCTCGATAAGGAGGGTACGCCTTCTTCAGAACGAACTGTGCGTAGAATTCGGGATGATCTCGGGATCAAACTCCGTCTATCACCTACAGAGCGTCAACAAGAGCTCGGTGATGTTGAAGCTATATTGATGAATGAGAATATGATTGGTGATATTGAGGATTTTGGCCGCCGAAATCTCTACCGTCATCTCCGTGCAATGGGACTTTTTTACACTGAGTATATATCTTACTATATTATGTTATTATGACTTGCTAATCTCTTTATTAGGAAGCAAGTCGTTGACGTTTATCGAGTCCTTCGCCCTGATGCTATTCACAGTCGACTCCCTGGTCAGCGACGACCACGGATCAATTATATCTCTCCAGGACCGAATGATGTTTGGCATGTTGATGGACATATGAAGCTTGAGCCTTTTGGTATAGAGATCTATGCTGCAATTGATGGCTACTCTCGATATGTTATCTGGATATATGTCGGGCTAAGCGCTCGTACTGCAATCAGCGTTCTTAGTCAATGCTTAACAACTTTTACAGACAACGGAGGGTTCCAACCAAAAAGAATTCGATCTGATCGAGGCACCGAGACTACACTACTTGCTGATGCACAATATGAGCTTCGTAAATTAGCAGACCCGACAGTGAAGATCAGCGACTGTTACCTATATGGTAGGAGTGTTGATAACCAGCGGATCGAGGCATGGTGGGGACTATTATCAAGAGCATGCACTGGTCTATTCCATGTAAGAAACACCGATACCGACACTAATATTAATACTGATATATTAATAGGAGTATTTCCACCATCTCCATCGCGATAACCTTTTTACGAAAGACTGTATCCCCGAGCAAGTGTCTCTCCTTGCTATCTATATGCCAGTTATTCGACGCCGGGTATATTCATACACCAAAAACTGGAATACGCACCGCATTCAACACCAAAATTCACCAGGTTTTGTATCAGGGAGGCCAGAATTTAATTACTACTATTCTGATGTAGCAGACCTTCGCTGTCCAATTGACCTTAACGCGCAGCTATTCCAATCGCTAAAACAAGATGTACAGCTATGGAATCCTAATGAATATCTTCCTCCGTCTACACTCGCTTGGTGTCAACAACAGCTTGCTGAAATTGGGGAGCAGCTAGCGGGGATACCGTTCAACCCTGAAGATCCGGGAATCTGCTTTGTTGGGGATCAACAAGCGCCATATCGAGCGGTGTACGAAGCACTTCGGGTGCGAGCGTTTGCACACTGGGATGCTGGTCGAGATCCAATACTCGACGTTTGTGCTAAGCCAATTGGCGCTGCTAATTGGCGGCCAAGTGTCTCGGAGGAGATATAATGTCTCGGCAGTAAGTGGTTTGGTTATTATTATAACCCTCTCTATTAAATAGAACTAACTAGGAATTTACGAAGATACGTTTCTCATCTATCTCATTATGTCTGATATACCCTCTGCTGCTGCTATTGCTGCCTTTATTACTCAATGGCGGGAAATGAACTCAGTAACGCTTTCGCCAGCGACCTCAACACCACCGACATCGACAGCGACATCGACAGCAACACCGACACCGACACCGACAGCGAGCGCACCTCCATCTTCGGCCCAGCTTACGGGTATACCATTCTCCACACTTCGCGGCACAGTCAGCAGTACTCGGCTTGCTTACGGTCAACACCAGCAAGCTACTCAACAAGTAGAGCGGGAGGTGTCATTTATTGTGGTGTTTTATCTGCAAACAAGCCCAGATAACACAGAACCAATCCCAAATGGTATAGCATCATGATCTATTATCGAGGACTTAGTTATACTAACTTATTGTGATAACAATAGCTACGACTACGATCCGGCTCCCTCCCCACGACCTCATCGGTGATATCGACCATCTAGTACGGGAAAAGATACTCCCTGAGCTACCTGGGATCGTGACGTTTAAGGCTGAATACACAGACAAGTTCTATCTCGCTGACGCGATGATGACGGGTGCAGGGAAGAAGCTTCTTCCTAGGTGGGTTCCAGGAATTAAAGCAGACTTCCTAGGTACGGCGAAGCAGTTCGTGGAAACCATTCGCACCGCGAAGCTACATATTGTTGTTGCGCGGTACGAAGGGCAAGTGTGGAATTGGCCGAACACAGAACTCGTTACAAGACCCCCTCGGCCAGCGACACCAGCGCCAGCGCCAGCGACACCAGCGCCAGCGCCAGCGACACCAGCGCCAGCGCCAGCGACACCTGAGCCAGTGTTCCGAGTACCACCATTTCCACCTTCCTCACCAGCATCACCAGCCTCACCAGCAAGAAGCGTCCAGGTTATTAGAACAGTGCGGAAGCGAGGTCGATCTCGACCCCATGAGCTAACTACACCGCCACGTCGGAGCCAGCGGAGGAGGGTGCAGAGGTGAATACAAAGATGTGGTGGAACAATACAGGGGTGTATGACGCTTTATGTGGTGGGAATGGCTTCATCGCCGGGTCCTAGGGGTGCATAACATTTTGTGTGGTGGGAATGGCTTCATCGCCAGGTCCTGCGGGTGCATGACGTTTTGTATGGTAGGAATGGCTTCAATATTGCAAAATACGCATTTTTGTCAAATGAAAATATATTCAACGCCTGAATTTGGGAATAAATGCAGTTTTGTCAGAAAATAATTTCTTCAACGCCTGAATTTGGGGATAAATGCAGTTTTATGTAGTGGGAATAGCTTCATTTTATTAAACTTGAGCATTTGGGCAATTCTGGTACTTTGCTTAATAAGGCACTTGTCATAGTAATTCATGTATTTTAATTTCTGCCGGTCTAAAATAAGGCATCTTCAGGCATCAATATGACAAAAATACCCAATCTGACCCCTGGCCGCTCTACACCTTGGTACTTTGGGGTCCCTGATCCACTGAAATTCCTTAGCACCAAGTCCGGGATCACCGCGGCCCGGAGAACTTTGTTGAAAATGTAAACCGCGGACTTGTAAATTACCACATGCAGTTAGTTTTACTTCTTTGGGTTTAGCACCTCAATACCTGTGCTCCTCGAACGTTGTGGAGGCCCCTTTATCCCCGGTCCAATTCCAACGCAATCTGCACCTTTTATTGCGCTGATCAGCCGTTGCTTGGCATTACGAAAAAAGACGCGGGAAGAGTCTAGTGCAAGGCAAGGCTGAAAGTGCTTGAAGAATTGACTAATTTTCATTGGAGGAAGATTGCGGGTCCCTGCAATCCAGAAATTGGTGTTGGAGAAAGATCTCCAAGAAGGTACAAAATTGATGAGTCAATAGGGAATCCTGGTGGTAGCCAAGCAACCAACCCAGAGCGACCCCCATAAATCAAGCCTGCCTTTCGGCTGAGGCTTCCTTTCATATTTTTCTTGCTTCCCTCCATTCATAATATCTTATCCTTACTTTGGCCTCCTTGGCAGTCCCAATGACCGAAAAGGATACGGGGACTGGCGTGCCCAACACTCCATCACCACCATCAACAATTCTTGATCCCCCACCGCCGCCAGATGGGGGGTGTTCATGCATGGACACAGGCCGTAATGGGCCACTTGGTGTGTTTCAACACCTGGGGCTACATCGCTAGCTTTGGTGTATTTCAAGCCTACTACCAATCCGAACTCGGAGTTTCGCCATCCGCCATTTCATGGGTGGGATCGGTGCAAATATTTCTCATCTTCTTCATTGGGACCTTTTCCGGCCGTGCTCTAGATGCCGGTTTCTTTTACCACGTGTATTATGCTGGGGTGTTCTTGCAGCTGCTCGGGGTCTTCATGACTTCCCTCGCCACCCGCTATTGGCAGCTTTTCCTTGCTCAGGGGATCTGCACAGGTCTTGGCAGTGGCTTGCAGTTCTGCCCAGTAATGGGACTCGTGGCCACATACTTCTCCAGCCGAAGGGTCTTTGCCCTGGCTTTTGGCTTGGTCGGAAGCGGGACCGGTGGTATGCTCTTCCCGGCTCTTGTCAAATCCCTCATATCAAGTATTGGATTTGGATGGACAGTGAGAGTACTAGGCTTTGTGATGGTGGCTACAAGCATCCCAGCGACTCTATTACTCCGGCCACGACTACCTCCACGTAGATCGGGCCCATTGGTCGACTGGATCGCTCTCAAAGAACCCACCTACATTTTATTCATCCTCGGGATGTTTTTCAACTTTTGGGGGCTTTATTTTGCTTTCTATTACGTCGGAACTTTCGGGCGCAATGTCCTAGGTTTGACTTATTCGGATTCGGACACGATCATCATCGTGACGAACGGAGCTGGTATAGTCGGACGGCTCATCCCTGCCTACCTGGCGGATTGCTATTTCGGGCCCCTCAATACAATCATTCCTCTTACCATCGGGGCTAGCATAATGATGTTATGTTGGGCCGCCGTTGACTCGAACGCGGGTCTTTATGTTTTTGCTGTCTTGTATGGCATGTTTTCCAACGGTGTCCAAGGCCTATGGCCTTCCACACTGTCTAGCCTGACACCGGACCTCACCAAGACCGGAACACGTATCGGTATGGGCTTCACCATTGTCAGTTTTGCCTGCTTAACCGGTCCACCTCTTGGCGGCGCTCTTATTGCAAGGTCGCATGGTTACATCGGAGCACAGGTTTGGGGTGGTTTGTCTTTTTTCTTGGCGCCAGCATCCTCGTTGCTGCTCGGATGTTGAAGACTGGAACAGTGATCAAGGCCAAGATCTGACTCACTTGGCATTGTGTCATCTGCGCAGACCTGCATTGTCTTAATTTCAAGGTTGCCTGTGTAACTTTGGAAAACTCTAGGGGGGGTAAAGAAAAAACTTCATATAAGCTTTAATCTGATTTCTCCTGAATTTACAATTTAGTAAATAGGCAAATGAAGTTCAGTCAAAATTCGATACATTTGAAAAGGAGATAATGTGAACTATCATTGCCCCTCGAGGAAAGGAATGAGCAGTAAGCTGCCTAAGATGGGAGCACCTTGGTGCACTGGAGAAGATTGTCCAGTAAGGCAGCAATAGTCAAGTTCCCAACGCGGGGCACAAATTTAGAGGCCACTTCGAGGATTTCTGTATCAAAGTTCTGCATAAATTTGAGGTTAAGATAGTTTCGTCACACGCATGAGGCCCACTCGCATGAGGCCCACTTACCTTGGCGGAAGCAACGTTGATGCAGATCGTCCCTCTCTGGATCCATTTCGTATTCACCTTGAACGTACGGTGCGGAACCGCCGAGATGATCACGCCAGACTTTTTCACGACATCCTGAAGGGTCCACTCAGTTGGCGTACTCCGCACCTCGGCTACCCCACTTGTCAGACTAGCTTGGTAGATCTGGACCCCTATAATATCAACACTATAGACACGGGCGCCTTGGCTCGCTAACAGTTGGGCGAGAGGTAGCCCGACAACATCGGATCGGTTGATGATGCAGATATCCCATCCGTTCAGCCTTTCCCCCTCGGCTAGACTCCGATCATAGATACCCAGCCAAATTAAAATAGATTCCACTGCTTTCGCCGTGCATGGCACTAGTGTAGGCACCAAACGGGGCCGGGCTGAATCCTCTATTACTCCGTGAGAATGGGGTGAGTGGGCCCGATTGAGTCCCTCCACATCCTTTCGGGGATCAACCGTGCTTTTGATTTCATCATCTCTCGCATCTCCGAAAATCGGGTAATATACCATAATGCCGTGGACAAATGAGTTCTCATTAAGCGCCTTGATGTACGTTGCCACATTTCTGGGCGTCAAACGTACCAGGCAGAAGTCGATCCCACTAAGGTTTTGAATCAATTTGAGGAATTTCAATATTCAATCGTGTTATGTTCGGCTACTCACATATTATGGCATGTTTCCCGAGTCCATTCTGCATATTGATGCGACCCAGCATCATCGCTCGCTAACAGGGCAGTGAGACAAAGACGGTTGGGAAGGCTTTGAAATCTTTGCGCAAGCTGAGCATATATTTCTTTGGTCAAGTCTTCTGGGAAGATCGTTACGCCGAGAGTCTGAGGAGCACGCATGATAATATCTTGAATTGATTCTGCGTAAGGTTCAACTTGAATCATTGCAATAGCGCTGTTGCCAAGTGATGAATGAGCCTTGAGTGGTGCTAAACTAAAGGATGAGAGTTTTATTTATTCAATATGCGCGACTTGGCAAGCTATATGTAGTAATATGTGGTAGGGACGTCCGATATTGCGTGTTTTCCGTTTTACGTAAATAATCTAAGCTTCTCGAGAGTTATTTCTGCATTTTTACGTCCTCTTCTGTGTCATGGTCATTAGCATTTGGTAATTGAAATTCGTCATCCTAGAGAGATGATGCTGAAACGTGGGGACTCCTGCAGGTAGCTCATTTTGTAGACGGAATAGTAAGATTTTGCTCTAGATCTGACGCTAAACTGCATGCTCCTGAAGGATTAATTGACGCGCGTGTTGTGCATTGGTGGGAAATCGTCCAGTATAAAAATTCTTGTTTTCAATCGTGGAATGATCTTCATTCTCCATTTCTCGTATGAATGGCGTATTCATGAGTGACTGCATAATTAAGTGGGTATGATTAGGCTTTTGCTCCATGTTGAGGCAATCACATCATCACATTACTCCGAATGCTTCATTCTGGCGCCTGTAGTTTACTAAATTTACCTCACATTGTTGTACGACAATTTATTTCTCCTCAACCTAGAAACTGAATCGCGTGAGGGGTAGCCAGCTAAAAAATTGGGCGTGCTTATGTTGAGATATAAAGTTGGACTTCTGGGCCCGAACTAAGCCTATGTTTTGAAGAAACCCTGAAAAGAATATCAATCCATCCTCCATCCACAATGGTTCAGATTCTACCTCAATCATTTTCCTCTTCTTCTACACTTCCATCCCTTTCACCATTCAGCATTACGGTGGTGGGAGGCGGTGCAAGCGGACTCGCTGTATTTCTTCAATTGATTGAAAGGGCCAAAAATGGAGACCATCTTGGAAGAGTTGTTATTTTAGAAAAGAGTCGGATTCTTGGCCCTGGCCTAGCATATTCAAATTCCTGTTCAGGAACAATCTTGAACATGCATACCGACACGATGGGGCTGTATTTTGATAAGCCTCAGCACTTTACAGAGTGGCGGACAAGCCTGAAAGAAGGCGAATTTCCCTCGCGGCTGAACTATGGAGAGTACCTTCAATATACATGGGCGCAAGCAATGAGCGTAGCTGAGCAGGCTGGGTTGAGCGTTTCCGTCATCCATGAGGAAGCCAAAGCAATCGAACGATTGAGCGATGGTGCTTTTTCTTTGGCCCTTTCCAATGAAACAACACTAGTGTCACAGGCTGTCGTTCTGGCCCTTGGTAATTTTACCTCGGTGTACAATTCCCATCTGCTCAACTTACCGGGATTCTTTCCGAGCCCATGGCCTCTATCACAATTCAAATCTATTCCACCTAACTCTTCGGTGATTATCGTTGGATCTCGCTTATCTGCTATCGACGCTGCAACCTACCTTTGTGATAATGGTCATAAAGGAACGATCACTTTGATGTCACGCGGCGGCCGGCTGCCTCGAGTTCAAGGAGACCAGACTACCTATTCGCGTCGGTACGCCCTGTACGAGCTTGCTAAACAACTTGAATCGGACCCGGACGACAGTTTTATTCAAGTCACAATTGGTCTGATGGCTGAACTTTCACAAGCAACAAACGGGGATTGGAGCTGGATCATTGATGATTCATCTCCAGAGAGGCAACTACGACAGGACATCAAGGCTGCAATGACCAATCAAGTGCAGTGGCAGGCTGTTCTTCGAGGCACGGCTCCTGTTGTGGAACGATACTGGACTCGACTATCCCCACGAAGCCAACAGCTATTCATGGAGAAATACCACAGTACATGGATGAGGTTCCGTCATGGAATACCTGTGCAAAATGCACAAAAAGTCGTCAGGATGCTAGAAAGTGGGCACCTCAAGATTGTCAAAGGTGAGAGTGTCAGATGGGATGGTACGTTCAAAGCAGAGACCTCGTCTGGAATTATCGAGGCCCCGTATGTCATTGAGGCAACGGGCCAAGAGTGCAGTCTCGAACGTATTCCTTCGCCGCTTCTCCGATCTGCATTGAAGAACACGCTGATTACCTCCCATCCAAGGGGTGGGATATCTGTGGATTTTGACGACTTGAGCGCTTCACCAGGGCTTTACGCCATCGGATCCCTCACATGTGGTTCACATTTCTATGTGAGTGCCATCGACCGAATCGCAGCCCATGCTTCTCGAATTTCCTACAGTTTGACGCAAAACCCTTGTGCCCAATCGTTACACGTAGCAATATTCTGTGGGTCAGATCTCTTCTCGCACCTCATGGTGAGCGAAATGGTCCCTCAACTTCTTGCTGCTGGTCATGTTCCGTACGTCTTTCTTCCGGAACACAAGGCTAGTCGCATTGCGGCATTGTTTGACCTTAGAGAGCTGGCTTTCTTCGAACGAGAATTACTTCAGCAGTATATTTTGCCTTATTTCAAGGATGATCTTTCATACGGCGCAACGCATCAAACTGTGCACCAGCTTCGCGCCAAATACGGAATCCTCGTTGAAAAAGTACCTAATGTCAACAAGATGTCTTTCATAAAGACGCTTGACAAGCACCACATCAGTGTCGGGTTGTCAGTGCGCTGCTATCAGCGGTTTAAAACAGACATCATTCGATACTTTTCCAAGCCCCGACGCCTGATGAATCTTCACCCCGGCGCTCTGCCTGCCTACCGTGGAGTTATGACAACCGTCCGCGCCATGAAGAACAAGGAGATCTATTTCGGGTATTCGCTCCACGATATTGATGAGAACTGGGATGCCGGAGATTTGATTGATATTCGAGAGCATCCCATTGACTATTCTAAATCGATGCTAGCATTTATGGCGGATCTCTACAAAATGGGTGTCGCCGTTTCGGTGGCTGCATTGGATAAAATCTCCAGGGGAAAAGAACTATCCAAAACCCCCCAGAAGACCGAAGCAAGTGGGTACTATACGTTCCCAACTAAGGAGGAAATGGAAGATATTAAGCAACATGGAATTCGCTTGGTTGATTCTCAGAGCATCGTTGATATTATCGTGGATTCATTCGCGTCGCCGAAAGACCAGGAGAAATTCCGCACATATATCGAAGCGGCTGTGCAAGATTGGTATAGGCGGAACTCGGTTTGAGGGTTATTTCTTGCCGGAGAAGGGGTGACGGAGTTACCAAGTCAAATTGTTGAATCGCAAGTCACAAGTAGACGAAATGCATAACCAGTGGGCCTGAAACGCAGCATGACTGGGCCGAGAAAAAAAAAGCTATTTCAAAGATTCTATCATATCGAAAAGGTCAATGCGATGCGATTGTACGAAATCATAGGCGATTGAAAAGAATAGTAACTCTAAAGAAATTGTCCCGACAGCTGCCGAGACTGGAAATACAGGAGAGATGAGGACATTTGAATTAAAGCCCGCCAATTTGATGGATTTAACGACGGTGACTAGATTATTTGCCTACATTTTCCGACACAGACAGTCAGACCTGTGTCTATAATAATGGGTCTTGACTCGTAGAATATCAAAACGTGAAATTAACATACACAGTCTACAACGCTCTGGATATGCATCGGACATTGCCTTTGTTTCCAATGCTATGCTCAGTGAATTTTCATGCTAGGTCAATGCGCAGATTGGTCAATCCTATGATTGGGGTGCGCCTTTAGGACC